AATTCTTCGCAGAAAAGATTTTCGACAAATCGCATAGTATTTTTGTATGCTATTTATAGATAATTCTAAGAGAAAATGTACAAGAAACTATAAATCGGAAATGTATTTCCAGCCTATGGACAAAGCTTATTTACACAACTTAGAATGTTATGCGGGATGATATTGTTCTTCAGTGAATTTAAATCTCTCACTTTCTTTATTTTATTTTACGCACAAAAAATCTAATTATTTTAAATAATCCTGATGACGGCATTTTTTGAGAATAATTTTAATTTAAGGCTTTTCTATGAATACTAGAACACCTAAAAGCCAATAATTGCTCAAATGAAATGTTAATTTATATTTAAAAAATCATTGTATTTCCATTTACATTCCCATTAACTATAAAATTACGCTCCAACAACCATCAGTCCACTTCGCTTTCAACGCTTCGCTTTGTTTTCCTGCGAAATTTATGCACCGCTAACGCATAAATCTACTTACGAAAGCAATTCGCAGACAATCAATGAAACATTTAAACACATAAACTGTGCTCCTTTAAAATCCACTTAAATATGCAAATCTCTCAGCAGTCCACCACGACAACTTCAATTGCATATTGGCACCATTAACTTCATTGGCATACACTTCTTTGGCAAGCCATAAAAGTACATTTAGAACAATAACAACTGACGACTTCACTATTTTACATATTTAGCAACAACTAAAATATGTAAAAGCTGGGTTAACTAGACGACAGCTGGTCTGCAAACACCAAAAACAAAATGGCAAATCGCATAATGAGGTTCAAAGAATACTGCTGAGCGTTAACACGAGATTTCGAGAATGCTTAACCTTCAGCGGTAACTGCACTTTCTGTAGCTAATATTGAAGGTAGTATACATATATGTATGTATGTAAGTATTTAGGGATATAGATACTTTTTTTCTTTTTCAAACCATAATCGCTCTGCTGATACCGAGTTGTAGTTAAGACTTTTGGCCATCGCTTACTTTTTTGGCCTATTTCATTTTACTTATAGGCACTAACATTGTAGACATACATACATATGTATACAGATACATACATATGTACTTAAAAGCTAAGCAGTGAAATTCTTTCTTTACAAAGTTTCTTAAGGGGTTTCTTTACATTTGCTGCAAAAAAAACTTACGTCTCTCGCGATTTTGTTTTTCTACACCAATGTTTTATTCCATTTCGCCTGCTGTGGTCGCCTGACGACTATTCTTTGTATGCATTCCGCTTGCTTGTATAAATAATCAACTTAGCATAATTTACGGAGTTCACGCTCGGTTTGCTTACTCCTGTCGATAAACCGTGTGCTGCCGTGCAGTCCAACTGGACGTTGCGCTTATGTGTGTGTGTGTGTGTGTGTGTGTGTGTCTAGGAGTTATGTATTCACTTGGCAAGCTGCTGCGTTTGCTTTATTTGCTGCCAAAGTCAACACATTTATACAATTTACTTGAGAAAAATGCATAAGTAAATCAGATTCTTGCTGCACTTTCAACTGAGTTGATTTCATTTTCAGCTTTTGCATTTACTCGTTTTGTAACACACCCTAGTTATACGAGTAAGTAGCGGCTGCCTGTGATTTATGTGCTGAAAGAGATATTTATGTACACTAGTAGTTCCAATTACTGTCGAAATTCGAACGTTCTTCTAGTTTTTAAGACCCTTGAAGATGTTTTCTAACTTAGTACGTCATTTAACTTACCGGGAAATCTCCTGCTTTGGAACTAAAGCGCGACTTCTTCGAAGTTCTTTAGCAGGACTTCGCATATATTCAATACATACCAGTTTTTCGATAAATTTCGATAATGTGAAACCTATTGGTTTCAATTTAAAAAAACACTAAAATCGATTAACTCAACAAAATTCGATGCCTCGATTAATTTCGATAAATTTCAATAACTGTTCATTTCAAGGGCTTGATAGATTTGAACTTGGGCTTAAAACTTTAGATACCTCTATAAATTTCGATAACTTGGTTAATTTTGAAAGCTACTAATTTTTCGAAAGCTATCGACCAATCGAAAATTTCAAAAACTTCTTATTATATCGATAACACATACGATAACTGTGTCGACAAAACATTTTATTTTTCCAAAAAGAGTTGCCACCTCTTAAAAAAATTGATTTCAAATTACACACGAACATGTATGCACCTGTTTAAAAAGTTAAATTAAATTTATGCAGTAGGTAAATGGATGGATTGGTATGGATATCAATCTAAAGGGCTTTGAAAAAAACTGTTTGTTCCCAAACAACCTGTAGGTGGGTTGCCACCTGTTTGAAAAATTAAATTCAACTTGAATTAAGGGAATTAGATAATTTAAATATGTGTTCTAATACGGGTGTCAGAAGAAAAATTATTAAAAAGGTTTTAATTTAAAAATATTTTTAACAGTCTTACCACCTGGTTTAAATACCAGCGAGTCAAGACGAAGGCGCTGGATTATGATCCTTTTTCTTCGCCAATTGACCTGGTAATTAATTAATTGTTCTGTATTTCTTTTAATGTTCCGCATTTGTCCCGTATTCGAAATCAGGCGTTGGAGCATCGACTCCGTCTTCATCGTCTGCTCCACAATTTTCCGTGCTGCTACCATTAAATAGGGTGTAAAAGTGTTCCCTCCATAGGTCAGCCCCTTCTACACATCGGTCACCAGGTCGTCATGGTTGTTCTTACAGGAGGTCACCCTGGGCTTGAAACCTTCCGTAAGTCGCCTAACTCGTTGGTAAAGCTTTCGAACGTTTTTCCTGTCCACCAGGATTTCAAGCTCTTCGCGCTCACGAATTCCATGATTATATTTATTAGCGAAATAGCGCTTTACACTACCACTCGGTAGGACCAAATATTTCTAAGTTTGCCAGCGATCAATAAAAAAGGGGGAATTGTTGTCTATTAAAAAGTTAATAACAAACCTTTCTTGCATTAAATTCATCAAAACATTCAGCAATTTTGGCATTGCCATTTTTAAGTGATTTCTTTCAAACAGAAAATATGTGTAGTATATCATTTTAGAACATCAGATTATGCATTTTGCTTATGGAAGTTTTCTTCTATCTAATTCAATTTCGTGTAGTTAGAGAATGTATTTGTGGTTGGGTGAATATTGCGATACAAATACAAAATTGTATGGTAAACATTTTCACACACATACATATGTACATACATATGGTTGTTATACGCAACATTCAATTACAGGATGACAAGCTTATTAGCTCCACTCATGCTTTCCGTAGTCATTTGCTTTCGCATACGAATACGAATACTATTTCTGCATGCACGTGCTTACAGCTTCTCTAAACCAGCGTTACGGATTCGTATTCTCATGTTTCCATATCATTTTTTTACCATCTATTTGCGTATAGCTGCCTGCACACAAATATGAATGTGACTTGTTCCACTACCTTATCGTCTTCTTCACGTTTTTATAAGTGACTTCAGCTAATGACAAAATTACTATGCATAACTGAAAACAAGCCACAAACTCGTACATGTATATTTACACTACTTTACTAAGTTTTACATTTACACGCAAGTATCACCGAAGCATTTATTAGCAACGATTTTCCCTTTCTTCCTGCCTCCATATGCGACATTTTCTAATAGACACAAGCGTACAAGATCTTTAACGCCAAAAACGAACCAGTCCGATAGATACCATGTAGATCCCCACCAGTCCAAAATCAGTGAAATGTGGTACTTTAAAAAAGAAAAACTATTTTATTTCGCTTTTTCCATTAGAAATCAATATTTAAGGTGATGAATTTAGAACTGGTTCGGAATTAAAGAAAAAGGGATGCAGCAGGGGCTAGGTTTACTTTACATAGATATGTGTTTGGCGGCTTTTTCGTTCAAATGCACCGTCATTCTGCACTTCGCAGATACTTTTTCATAGTTTGGTAATACAAAACAAAAATTTGTGTTAACATATTAACATCTTGGGACCGTCCGGAATCTAACCAAAAACAGCGACACTTCCTAGGACATCGCCATGTAAAATTCGCCAGTTGTTTGCATGCAATAGAGATTTATCGGGAACCAGTACTGGGTCTAAATGTAGTAGTAGCGCACCAGTTCAGAACTAGAAATTTTACCCACATGGCATGTATGTACATAAGTATGTATGTATGTATGTGAGTGTAGTTTCATATCTTCAAATATGCATATCTGCATTTTTGTAAGTGTAAATATCTGAGAGCAGCAGCTCATTTGTACTTGGCATAGTTAGCTGTTAACTATGTACATATTTTCGGGTTGTCAGTAACATCATTTGCTATCTCTTAACATATTTCAACTTCCTTTCCATGCAGCGGGTTTGCCGCTGCTTTGTCATACTTTTTTACTATCTTTATTTGCTTACATTATTTCTTCTTACATTTGACAACTTCATTAGCATTGACAGCGGAACGTGTTGCATGCACTTTTGACTTTCATCTCCGCACGTGACTTTGTGAGCACAGCTGTTGCAAATGTTGTGGTTGCGAAGCGGAGCGCTCCTAATTATTACTTCTAGGTAAATTTTTAAATATTATGCAACTAGCAAATAAGTATATTGATATGCATTCTCTGGTAAGTAAATCTTAATTGCAAGTACAAATAGTACAAATAGTTCACCTGGGTAAGGATATACAAATACCACAGAAGTATCGATAATTTTCATGTGATAGTCAAATTAATGTATAACTTAATGAACAACGCTTGGGTGGCGTGGGTTTGACTCCAACAACAGCCGCACAAATAATGCTATAGAATTATACCAAACTTATTTGAGTATCTTAGAACCAGGAAATTTCTAGATTCATGCTTAAAAAAGCGTGAGCTTGCCGATTTAAAATTCTTTGTTGCAGAAGCGGGACCATATCTCAAACTGCCACTTACGTTGAGTGGAATAGAGTTCCGGTGGCTTTGGTACGGATGAAAAGGAGCGTAGAAAAAAAGCCAAGAGCGTAAAAAGTCTAAATTTAACAAACCAAAAAAAATACGCGAAATCTATATTTATTTGATTATTTATTTACATACATAAATATGTTGAATTTTATAATTTGGTTATAATGGCGTGCAATGAGATTATATAGTAATAAAAATTTAACATAATAATTTCACATATTTTAACAGTTCACAGCGTTTAAACTCTGTTAAACCTAGGAGAATTCTACTCATCTTAAATAAATTTCCGAAAACTTATACGCATACTTAAATTATAAGGGACTACGCCTAAATAAATTTTATATATATGTACACTCAATTATACCTATGGTACATATGTTCAACTTTGTTCAAGAAACTTAATTTACATATTTAAATTTTCTATTACCAAATTCGAGCTTATGTGATACATATTTATGTATGTATTTCATTTTGATTTCTTTAAATGACGAGAAAATGAGCAACACAAAGATGAATACAGAAAGCGATTATGTATTATATGAAGATCTAAATACACATAAAAACTTAGAATTTATATTATAAGTGAATTTAGCAAAGAGTGTGCAAGAATACGCAGACACTATCAATATAAAAAAAGTACAATTACATAAACACAGTACGTAGTCAAAAATATAAATTACACCTAGCGGATCCCAGTTTAATTTTTAGATTACCGAAAATACTAACCAACGCCGTTGACAGATTACCTTACACGCGACGACGATGATTTGACTGCTCTCTACGAATCTGTTGCTGCTTGTAGACGAACAGCGGTCGGAAGATGATGGCACGACGTGGACGTCCTACTAGTGGTGCGGCGCCAGATGCAGCCACAGCAGCGACAGGCGACAACGAAACATCTAATGGCACTGAGAGGGGTGCATCATTGGCAATAGCACGTCGTGGTCTCACATACGGTCGGAAGAGATCAGCTTTGGTAGCATCACGACGATACAATGTACTCAAGAAGTCAAAGTATTGTGGCGAGCGCAGACTTTCCGGCTGTCGGAGTGGTGAAGCAAAATAAAAAACCTTTGGTGTCTCCACATCCAAGTAATTGTTTACGCCTTCTTGCGCCTGGACGTAAAGTGGAACGACAATGCAGAATGCAAAAACGAGCAACTGTAAAAAATGAAATAAGATTTTAAGTGATGGAAAATTTGAGATTATCTTATTAAGTCATTTTTTTTAATAAGCTGACATGTAAATTAAATATTTAACGCAAAATATTTGTGAATGAGATTATATAAGTAAGTATAAAGATCGAAAATAAAAAAAGATCGAAATAAAAAAAGTAGATTTTTGAATCGATTCAAATCGAAATAAAAATAATCGATGCAGGTGGGAATCGTCAAATAATAAATCGATCCCCCAATATCGATTCTTATCATTTGTCAAATAACATATTTTTGAAAGCGATCTGGCCAAACTTTTGTTGTGCGAACGTACGACCAAATGTTTGAAATTTTATTTTTGTGCATTTTTAAACTTAGGCGCATAAAATAGCTCGTATAACGGTATCAATTGCAAGCATGCTTCGCAGAAAGTTGAAAACTGCAATAGATTAGAGCTGTAAAATCCAATGGGCAAGTCAGAAAAATAAAAAACAAAAAGCAGCTGTTTCTTCCAACCAGTATTTCGGCCATACCTTAATCGGCATATTTTTGCATAAATATAAAATAGTGAACACGTTTTACTTATTTTTTATTTGTATTTTTATTTTTGGCTATGAATACAAATCAGGTTTCGACAGCTTTTTAATAGATTTTAATGCCCATTTTTCAAGATAATTCAAATTTTCTATTGTTTGCGCGTATATATGCCTTAAATATACATACATATGTATGTATGTCGGAGCGCATTTTTATATAAAATTAAACAAGCTATTAAACTTTATTGTTTTTGCAAAGTCAGACAAAGTTTCCTAATATCAACGAAAACGTCATGACGTATGCGGATTTGGCATAAACTTAGCTTGTTTAACAAGCGACTCAAAAAACTAAATAAATTAAGCAACTTTTGAAATATTGTTTTAATCGATATTGACGCCATTGTCAAATTAGTTATTCAACGCAAATAAATTAAATTGACGCGAAGAATTTAAAAAAAAAAACTCTTTGATTAAAAAACTAAACCTAAACATGTGCATACATATGTATGTATGTATGTACATATATTTCAAAAATTTCACAGACGCACGAATGCCAAATTATCGCAATATCCCAAGTAAGCTGTGGACAAAAGAAAAATTTAATATTTTGCTAAATTTGGTTACGGCAACTTATTCTAGTACCAGGCGAGCAACTATACCTACATAGTTATATATGTAGGTACTAGGGTTCTCGATTACTCGCTTTTTTCGGGAACCAGCTTTATTGGTTGCTCTCAAAGAGGAACCTTTACCGATGCCAAAAAAATTCTTCTCAGTCATGAAGTAATATAAATGAAAAATAAATCTCCTTCGGTTGTATATGTTCATTTCCTATGTAAGTGCAACTTAACTTGTACTTGATCATTAATCTATTATTCAGGCAGGTTGTGCAATCGATACATCCACCTATCCGGGTACCCAGATAAAAATAACCCACTACCCGGATACCCGTATAAATAAAACCTCCTGTCCTAGTACCTGGATAATATTAACCCGCTACCTATGTAGGTACCCAAATAAATATTGCCCTCTAAGCGGTTATCGGGAATAAGATAACCTGCTACCCAGATATACATAAATATATTAACCTCTACAAGGATAAAAATACCTGTACACAAATAAAATCTGCCCTGCGTAGATCGGATAAAGACAACCATCTACCCGGGTCCCGGATAATTGTAGCCATCTATCTGGGTACCCGGATAAAAATAACAGCCTACCCGGGTACTCGAATAATGATAACCGACTACCCGGGCACTCGAATAAATATAACCTTAATCCGGGTACCCAGATAAAGATAACCTACTACCTGCGTACCCGGACAAATAAAGCCCGATATTCAAATACCCGGGTAAAGATAACCTTCTGCTCGGTTATCGGTATAAAGATAACCGCCTACTCGGGTAAAAATAACCCCATATCCGAATACCTTTCTAAAGATAACCCACTAACCCGCTAAAGATAATTCTTTACCTAGGTACTCGAATAAAGCTATCCGGGTACCCGGATATATGTGTATTAGCCTTTACCGGGGTAATTCATTACCCCCAGGTGTATGGAGTATGTTCCAAATTACATGAAGAACCAGACAGAATAACTGACCCACTTGTCGCCATTTAGAACAAAATTGAAAAATACAAATAAATTAAATTTTTATCAAAATACTAAAATGTATTAGTTTTACTTTCCTACTTTACTTTTCTTCAATGCTGTAAAGAACAAAGTTAAACGTATGTTTTTAAATAGGAATTGGCAGCACCATTTATATGCGACCAATATTATTACTCTCACTTAATAACCGAAAACAAGCAACGATTACCAATAAATCTCCTAGGTAAATTTCGAGATTTATTTCTTGAAATTAAATGTAAATCTTAGTTGGAAACTAAAATAATATAATACTATATAAATATCTCTCCGAAAGAAATCTTTCGAGATCTGGTATTTAGACAAATATCTAGTTCAATTTTCACCAAAAATAAATATTTAGATCTTTTAGTTTCTGGTGTACTATGAATAAACTAGGGTTGAAACCGGTTTATAAAAATTAAATCAATCACCCTAGTAAGTTCATACATATGTATACTTCGAACACGTTCTACGCATATGTAATTCTAAGATATATGATGTCGATTTAATCTTTCACGAAATCCACATGGTTTCCCACCATTAAACTATTAAGCATAATCAATTTCGAAACTCACCGTTGACGCGGATTTCGCCAACATTTTATTAATAGCCTAATTTGCATTAAATATTTGCCGCTTGTTCATCAAATTACAACAATTAATTTGCGTCTGCTTTTCTAGGGAAAAAAATACCTCAAGAATCACGATTTTTAGTTGGCAACATAACTACTTAGTTGTTAAAAAGAAAAAAAAAAAATAGGTTTGGGCTAAGCCGCATGCATAGTTAGTTATTATTGGCTAACTAACTAAAAGCTACTACCAATTTTAAGTGGGTAGGAACATCGCTCATACGCCACGGCATCGCATCGCTTGTCTGCATGTTATTGACACGTGATCGCAAAAGCTAGTAAAATCATACAAACGAAGCAATAAGCTCCATTGCATATTATCTTAACTATAACCCCGCAGCACTCGAAAGCTTGTCACAAATGCTGGAGGAAGCTCCAACTTTTCCCTCATATATGTATGTATGTACATTGTAAGTCACGAAAATTGTGGTACTATGGTTGTAATTGTTTGATTAGATGTATGTACGTGTGAGTATGTATCTTACAGGGTTATCACTGCTCACCGTCTATATAATTATGCTAATTTAAACGCTATTAATTTCTGCTCAGTGTAATAATTATGTCTTACGCCTTATGATTTATATACAATTGTTGTTTTTACATAATATGGCAGCACCTAAAATTAATAAACGTTTACAAAATGACTGAGCTATTAAACACCTTTATTTTGTACACACCTCTCTGATTATATTATATGTAAATATGTATGTAATTGGAAGTTTTGATTATCGGTAGGTATTCATAACCACTAGCAGATTTAACTAAGAGATAAAAGTGGTGTTCGCCCCTCCACAAGATTTACGACTAACACACGAGTAAATCAAACTAAGCACTTCCTACCAATCGTTTAAGAAGAGATGAAAAAATAAAAACTAAAGCAAAACAAAAGACATTAATGAGGTACCTTCACAGGAACTGATCCATTTGCCATTAAGCTAACGAGTTGGTTTTTATTGACAGAAAATTTTTGATTTTTGTGCTTCCAGGTACAATCGCAAGAACTCAATTTCCCAATCTGTGAAATTGCTATGAGTCAATATCTATTTTCAGTATTTAACGAGAGTTTGGCTCGATTTTGATGAAAGCATGAAATAGGATTGCCCATTAAAGATCAAAGAGATATCGTTAAGGGGCTTTCAAAAATGTCCACCCTTTATCTGTTTTTAGGTCTTTCTTTCGGTTGGGGGTGCAAGGGAGACTGGTAGATTTTGTTAAGCTCTTTCTTGAAATGAGAACTATTCATTCAGAAATAGAGAATGGGTCCCAATGTGTACTCATCACTAAGAAATATATTATTCTACTATTCCAATCATCCACATTAAACAGAGTAAAACTCTCTCAACCGAGTTGAAGTATCTCGGAGTTAAACTAGACCGGAAACTCCACTGGGAGGGAAACTTCAAAGACCGCGCCCGCAAATGAAGGATGAATAAAACTACATGCAGTCTACTTAATGTATGCAGCACTGATAATACCCATTCTCTTCTATGGGGCACCATTTTGTGGTCGGCGTTAAACAATGCTCTGTCCTGAGCCGAGATGGAACTGGTATAGTCAACGACGTCCAGGCTTGTCACGGGAACAATTCCTTCTACATCAAAGAAATCTCGAGAATTTATGTTAAATCTTCCCCCCCATGGCAAATTTCTAGCTGGTTGCAGTGCAGTTTAAATGCATTTCAGCCATTTACAGACCTCATATTCCGATAGGCAAAAGTTCTGGAAACTCTGCCAAATAACACTGGTTTGGATGCCACTATCCGATTCCCATGTAGAATTGCTTGGTGATTCCGAAAGTCGAGTTAATTTTTTTTGTCTATGTATAACTTTTCGAGATATTTGCAATTTACCGTTATTCAGCTTAAAAAAGAGTGGTTCATCTTAATCACGCAATCTTACGAACAAATCGATCAATCATAGTACGACAAATGAAAGCCAATGAAATTCTCCATAAACCGTGTACACATCACTTTTTTATAGGCCTGCTAGTTGCTGAGAAATTAGTTTAGAAACGTGGTTAGTTAAATGTACGGCCCTAAAACACAGAGGATCCTATCTACAAAATCATTCAACATTATGAAACAATACACAACTGGTTATTTTAGGTTTATGTTTTTTAATTTTTGAAATAAAGCTAAGATTAAAAACTACTACTTCACATTCCAAGAAGTGACGAAAATAGCGAAACGAGTCGAAAAGATATATCAAAGTGTCTGAATGTCAGCAAAAAAAATTCAGAAAAGTTTGTACAAATCAAAAACATAAACAAAAATGTCTCATAGATTGGACTGTACTCAAAATGTTGTGAATACATATATGTGGCAATAAAAGCCGACAGGCAGTTATTCACACCAAGTCTAGACTGGTCATTCCATCGCCCGTGTGAACAGGATCAAAGTTCTGGCGTGGAACAGTTTCCTCAAAAACATCAAATTTAAAGGAATCGAGAAGAAAAATTATCGAGCTGATTGCAGGAATAATGGAGCGCGGTTTGACTAAGTTGTGCTGTCGGATTGATTCGAAGAACTATGGAAAACCTATTACTCCACCGCCTTATAAAAAAGTAAAATGAGTAAGTTAACAAAACACGCGAATCGCACAAAGATTATTCTGGTAACTTTGACTGCAACTCGGCACGGATTGCCGTGGTCCAAATTGCATAAAATTTTATTTGAATTGTTTTTAGCACAAAACCAATAAAATAATGGGTATGCGTAAAAAAACAATTTTGGTTTTTTAGGATAGTCTAAAGTATATTTTATAATATATAAACAAAAATCTTGTATGTATAAACCCAAAAAAAACCTCTTTCAAATTGTTAACAATTCTCCAAAGTACTTTAAAAAGATTTATTAATCAACTTCAAGCTAAATATATATTTTTTTATTGCTGCTCCACATTGTCTTTGAGGTCATTTACATGTGAACTTGTTTATTGATTTTCAATTTTGAGTTCAAGTTTTCGAATCAACGAAATATTACCTTAAATTAATGAGCTTGTTGACAACTAGAATAATTTAATTATTTAACACGAAACGTAAATCTATCATTCTTTTTTTCGGTTTTTTTATTTTTGTATTTATTGAAAGAGCAACTGTAAAGCGAATAAAAAAAACACAAATAATTGAATATAAAATCAAAACAAACAAAGCCAATAACATACCTCGCTGACCAAACGTAAATATTTGCATTACATAAAAAAAATAAAAAAAAACATTAACAGCAGCGACGGCAATCGAAGCCAACATCAGTTTGCCAATGTAACCGGTTATAATGGATGCGCAGATCATACATATCTGCATACTTATGGATGAACGTAAATTAGGACGTGCACTTTTTTGGCTGACAGCAAAAAAAATATTTCAAAACTTAATTTGAGGCGAAAATGTTTACAATATAAAGTTCTTAAATAACCACTAGATGAATTAACAAAAGTTCCGCCAACGGAAATATTTTCCAGTCTTTGCGTATTACGCGTCACATTTAAATGTTTTATTTTTAGGAACACAAATCGACCCATCTTAATGTACAGTTTACAAACAAGCATTCATACATGGAAAAAAAATTGTTAAAACAAAGGTGTAAATATGTTTAAAATGAGCTAAATAGCGTATAATTATATAGTTCATGGTTAACTATTGCCGACGGATAGGTGTTCGCTTCTGTTGTCTGCAACAACTCGGCAAATAAAAACGCAAAAAATAAAAAAAAAGCATTCATAGTTAAACTTGTAATATTGCTAGCATCAGTAGCTACATATATGTGTATGTACCAATGCACATTGACAACAGCATGAACAATATAAAAAAAATTGTTGTAATTTTTAGTTATGCATATTTATTATCAATTTTTCCTTTTCAACAAAAAAATTAATTAACAAACTTGTATGCTTCATTAATTATGCGTATTTTTTTCAAATATACATATGTACATACATCCTTTAACTTTGAATGCTCTATATTTTTTTGTTATTATTTTTCAATTAGTGGCACTTTGTTAACCTTTTGATAAATAACAGTTATTATCAAGTGCATACTTAATTGCGTTTAAACAGGCGTAAATTCACCCCGGCTTATCTAAAGCTATTTAATGTATTAAAAGCAAATTGATTTCAATCGAAGAATTATGATTAGTGAGGCATAACCTTTTTTTGATATTTATGTAATTGATTTTCGAAAAAAAAAATTAACTCTAGTTCTATTAGTATGAATTTTTTGCTTTTTGTGTTGTCTATGTTATCTGCATGCTTAAGGGTTATTAGGTTTTATAATGGCCTATAAATTTCATTAATTATGGAATTTTAATTCTATGGCCTAATTTCATTACAACCTTGTAAACTGTGTAGGTTAGGTTAGGTTAATCCGGTTGGCGCTGAGCCGCACAGAGAGCGGTGGATCCTCAGCGATGCCGTTTTTACGTTTCAAAGTAGACATTACAAAGCATTTCGGTAGAAATTTCAGCTATACTTTTGAGATATTGTCTAACTGATGACCTTCCAAATAATAGATGGCTAATTAAAAATATTATCAGCCTCAAGTTTTCTTAAAATTCTTTCGTTTGACACTAATATTTCGATATTTCATTTATGTAGCTTGTTTGTAGAACAAATTCGACCTTTCAAACAGGTGGCAACCCCTTTAAAAGTATTTGCGAACTAAAATCTTTTGATGGTCTGGCATTGTTATACATATTTCAATTAACTGATGACTTAAGTTGAATTTGATTTTTTAACCGGCAATCCTTTAACATTTTTTTTTCGAACCAAAATTTCCTTAAATATTTTTTGTATGATATTGTTATAAATATTCCAAGTAACTGATGAATAACGTTGAAATTTCTTTTTTAAACACGTGGCAACCCTCCTAACTATAGTTCTGAAATAAAGGATTTTAACCCCATCGATAACCATCGTTTAGTAATTCACCTAATTTATTAAATAATTTTAATTTAAGCTTTTCAACTGGGGCAACCTT